TTCAAAGTGTTTTGGGATTCATTAAATCCCTACAAAAACTCGGGCGGTCAAAGGGTGCAGGGGACTGGATACTATGAGCTGGATCACTACCTTACGTCGAATTTAGCCGTTACGATTGCACGTCCACCTCAACCGCCACTCAATTTCGATGTGTTAGATTGGTGGTCAAGAATGGAAGGAATTTTTCCTATTCCATGCATTATGGCCAAGGAGATCTTTGCTGTCCCAGCATCTACAGTCGCGGTTGAGCAAGCATTCAGTGAGGGCGGCTACATGCTAGATCCACGACGGTCGAGGATGACGCCTGATAATCTTCAAGCACAAATGTTACTGAGTGATTGGAAGAAGGCCGAACGAAGGATGCAAACTGCTATGCTCACTTCGAATGAGGAGGAGGACGACAACGACGAAGCATCCGATTTTACGTCGTCGACAAGTGGAACCGGGGGGGACGTCGAAGACGAATACGAATATTAAAGGTATGCAGCCAAGGTATGTGTTTTAGAAGAACTACGTGGACTTTGATTCCCAAATAAAGGGATACGTAGGCACCTTATTTAACATTATTAAGTTCGAGTATAATTTTTTGGTAACAAAATTTTTCATCGCACACGATATTCGAACTTAATAACTGTTAACTAAGCTCAAGTCCATTTCATTAATAATTTTTTTCTTTACACTTAAGTTGTACTTCTCCGCCATACTCAATAAAATACAACACCGTTAACCGTTTGTCGTTTGACGTACAATTTAACAGACTCAAAAACTTATATTTTCGAAGTATATACAAACTATTTATTCAAAATAAACATTAATATACATTAAAATAACAAAAAAAAAGAAAAAAAAAAAATTAAAAACCCGCAAACCCGCCGGGCCCGACCCGGAACCGAGTCGACCCGCCGGGTTTGCGACCCGGCGGTTAAGGGCCGGGTTTGCGACCCGGCCCTTGGTTACAGGCGGGCCGGGCCCGGTTCAACACATGGTGAACCGGCGACCCGGCGGGCCTTCCGGCGTTGATGGCGCGAGAGTTTCGTGGTCCATACAATCTCTTTGGAGGGTGGCTCGCCGCCGAGATTGATGGACCAAATGTCTCTCCTGTGGAAGCACAAGCGGGCGGATCAACGGCCGTGGGGGTCCTAGAAGTTGTCAATGTGCTCGCGCTATGATTAGGTTGGCCACTGGTGAGCATCGATGACTGGATAATGGGGCTTCGCGGCTAACAGCGATCGACTCCGATGTGAACAACCAGAGGGTGGGACTAGGATCTAAGGCAATCAATTAATCATGAAGACTCCGCTTGGAGTCCAACACGATGGTTTTGTTCGCAATGAATGTAGATCTTTTGGATTTAGCCTTACTGGGCGGCGCGGTTACAGCCTGACGAGTCACCGGCGAGGTTGGACGGTGGGATTCTTAAGTGCTGCAAGTGTTGACCCGACCGCGTCCCTCTGGCAGCACACATGCAATGAGCCTGCGCCGCTTGTCGATGCCACAGGTGGCGGGTAGCTTCCTACCTTCCAGCAGTTAGAGATTTTTAAAAACCCCAATCTTCAGCCCAATCTTAGAAATAATCCTCAACTCAACCATGAATTTCTATGCAGTGCGCTCCATCCTCAGATCATGTGCCACCAACCCGTACAGCGCCGCCTCCGCCACTTTCAAGTCTAGATTCAGATGGGTCACACTCCGCCGCGGCTGGTAGAACGGCCACATGTCGTGGACAATACATAGTCCTCGTACAACACCTTTGTGTCGATCTTATCCTAGTATACGGGGGTCCTCCGGCGGGGAGAACTTTGGTGCATACTGGCCACATTAATACATATTATAGAGAAATAAGACACAATACATAAGGAAAAAAAAGGTTTCGGAAACAAATTTTCAGTTGTGCGAGTGATTGTTTGGGAAAGAAGAAAGGTGAAAGAAAGCTGTTGATCTTTCGAGATCTCCGAAAGGCGAAAAGAAGCCACAATTATTGGCTTTGACTGATGGAAAAACAAAAATAAAGACAAGGAAAATTACCTGTACAACCCCAAAAAGTTGAATGCACAAGGGTATTTCAGTCAAAACACTCACAACTACAAAGTAGATTCAATTTATTGTATTGACTTTCGAAATTAATGTAAAAATATTGCATTTGTGCTTGTTCAAACAAGGGCATTTCAGTACTTACACGAAAAAGTGCCATATGTCAACTACACAATGCGCCACTTGTCGCCATTAAAAGCATTTTATATCTTCATATATAATAGTGGAGTTGTAGTTAATTTGTATGTATTTACCAACAAAATACTGTTGTAGGTATTTACCTACATAAAAATTTGGAGAAATTTTTTCATGTGTGTTGGTGTAGGAAATCCCTATATAATTTGTTGGTATTTACATACAAAATATTTAGCTACAAAATACACAAATCTAGGTAAATACCAACATATTACCTACATACTTTTATCGAGTACTATATTTTTTGGTAATTTGTTGTAGTAGTATTTTTTTGTTTGTATTCTGATGTAGGGAAGCGTACGAGTGGGAATGATAAATGAGAATTCAATCTCAAAACACAATAACACCAATCAATTTTGTTATTCAATATCAACCACATAATAACAAAGAAGAATGAGTCTTTAAATAAGACTCCTAAAGCCCTAGACCTAACTTGTTCACCAAACTACTAAATATTAATAATAATAAATGTTAAGGTCAAGGTCATGGTGATTTGTCAGCTCATCTAAAAGCAACAAATCTGGATCCCATAGCAAGATCTTCTCAAGTGACATCCTCATCTGCCACCCTCCACTAAAGAATGCAACAAGCTTATCTCCATTCTCATGCGCAAAACCCAGCTCGGGCATCAATTTATTAATCTTCACATCAACCACATCCAAATCCACGGGTTGCGCCCTCCTTTGCAACAAATAAAACTCATCCAAGAGCCTTCTCATGGGTCCAAATCATCACAGACTTCTCGATCGCTTTCTGCACAAAACACGCCTTCACCAAATCCTGGGTCCCTCCCGAAAGCCCGTCAAAGACCCTGGATAGCTCACGGTCCCCCGACCCTAGCAATAATCTCCGTAGTGCTCTTCTCTTCCTCCGACACTGAAGGCTTCTCCTTGAAAACCAACAGACCATCGTAGAGACTGCCCACCTCGCCGATTAGACGCTCCTCCACCTTCTCGGGACCTTCATCGAATACCGGCGGGCCGTCATTGAAACCGGTCATGTCGGGGTCGCTAGAATCTTTGGCAAACAATACCCGTGAACCCATGACCTGTAGACTGTAAATCGACCCATCGATTGCACCTCCAGCCCACATCGAAGAAGTAAAAGATGGGCCCACCCAAAAATCCGACCCCCAGCGTGACTCGCCGAAACCCTCGGTCTCACGGTGAGATTCACGATGATGTGGCTTCGTAAAAACCACATAACCTGGGGCCAAATGCCGATTGTCACGAAGGTCATACTCGTCTAAGACTTCGGCTTCATGGCGCACTTGCTGGTCGCAGAAGGGATTGACATCCGAAACGGTGTCCTCACCCTCTTCATCACTGGGCGGCGGTGGTGGCAAACACTGGTGGGGCATCCCGCCTAGGCCATGTCCTCCATGTCCACAACAAAAGCCCCCGCCTATGCCCCAGTTGCCGGCATCACGGTACGTATGCGCACTCTTCACCATGGTACGTATAATTAGATGTATTTTCCCGATACCCGTTGACAGATATGTGAATCGATCGTCCATCTGCTACAATCGGTTCTCCATCTGCTAAAGCTGCTTGTTGATGGCGGTGACACACCAGTCGATTGCATCTTGTCGTCGTGTTGACATCGTGAATCATGCTGATTTCTGGTACCAACTGATGCAGGAAAGCGTTGTTCGCAAAATATCTTCACTACCCGCAAGTGTACGGTGTAGCTATAGTAAGCGAGGAGCAAGGTCGTATTCCACAAAGATGTTGTTAAATTAATTACGTACCAAAATATAGATGATTAAATATAATTTAGACTAGTGCAAACTTGAATGGAAATTTAATTCTAAACTAATGAATGATTGCAAAATGAATTCTAACACTAATGAAGACTTGTTCTAAAATAAATCAAGAATGAGAAAATAGATTCTAGGCTAAGTTTTCCTCGGGATTATTCTAGCAAAGATTTCTTATTCATTAAAACCTTATTTAATTTTACCAATCGTAGGGATAATCACTAAAATAATTTAACCTCTCTCTCGAACAAGTTAAATCGTTGATGAAATGCTATCTATCTCCTCTCGGTCTCAAGATAAACAATTAACTCCCCTAGGGCATAAGATTCTGGTTCCCTTACAAGATTCTATCAACCTCTCAGTCTGTTTAGTCTGTTACGTTAAGAATTTTCCAATTCTAGCAACCAACTATCTCCACTCAGTCTTAAGTCAATCACAAATATGCACAAATACGAGCCCTATATTCACACAATTCATATAAACACAAGAAACTAATAAACGAAAGATAGACAAGAATGAATAAATAAAATTACTTCATAAAATAATACGAGTACTCACAAATCCTAGAATCTCAAAAAGGTTTAGCTACTAAACATATTCTCAAAACTCAAAATAAATAAATCCATGAGTTCAATGAAGAAGAAAAAGATAAAAGAAAGAAGAACTATGGTTACCGTTAGTTCCCGAATCTTCTATCTTGACTTCCTCGAATTCCTCGTGTGTTTTGTGCTTTCTCTTGGCCTTCAAAGGTGTTCAGAAGTCCCAAAACCGAGTTCCCCAAGACCCTTTTATGGTGTAGGTCGAATATTTGTTGAAATAAGGAAGAAATCGCATCAGAATCCTAATCCCCGTTGAACCGGTCTACGCGTCGCAGGACTCGTGTCACAAAGCCACACGAGTCGTGTGACTCTTTCTCCTAAAAATTGTGACTCCCAGACTCACACGACCGGTCACACGACCTGGTCACACGACCCGTGTCATTTTTCCGCACGACCCGTGTGGAAAAGTCGTAGCTAAATTCATCTTTTTCCATCTCCATATGACTCGTGTGGCTTATGTACCACCTCACATGAGTCGTGTGGACTCTTGTGCGCCTTATTTTCACCGTTTTTCGTCCCGACTCTGTTTTTAAGCTTTTTTGGGCATATGTCCTACAAAAATTAACAACAAAAATAACTCCATCATAGATTAATAAATAAAACTAAAAGACGCACAATTCAACAATAAACACGACCAAACACCATAAATCACACATAATGCATGTAAATATGACGAATGTCAAGCGTACGAGTGGGAAGGATAAATGAGAATTCAATCTCAAAACACGATAACACCAATCAATTTCTTATTCAATATCAACCACCTAATAACAAAGAAGAAGGAGCCTTTAAATAAGTTTCCTAAAGCCCTAGAACTAACTTGTTCACCAAGCTACTAAATACTAATAATAATAAATGTTAATAATAAGAATAAGAACTAACTTGCCTACACATTTTTTTTTCTAGGTAAATAGCAAGATATTACAAAGAGAATATGGTGTAGACTAGTATTATTCTTATTCTTATTATTAACATTTATTATTAACAAAGAAGAAGGAGCCTTTAAATAAGTCTCCTAAAGCCCTAGAACTAACTTGTTCACCAAGCTACTAAATATTAATAATAATAAATGTTAATAATAAGAATAAGAATAATACTAGTCTACACCATATTCTCTTTGTAATATCTTGCTATTTACCTAGAAAAAAAAAGTGTAGGCAAGCACAACATTTTCTTGTAGTGGGTGGTCAATTATGAAAGATTTCGTGTTGTTCGAGTGCACGTCACAGTGGCAAAGCACAACAATGTCTCAACATGAGTGGCTCCCAAAGTCCCCCATTTAACCTAATCCCGATATATCTAATTTTTCTAATATTTAAGTAATGAAAATATCAATGATGGTTCATCGTTATAGCGGCCAGAAGACATTAAAAAATCAAAATTAAAGTTAAAAAAAAAAAGAGAAGACGTGTTGTTGTGAAAATAATAAATAAATAAAATAAAAACTTTCAAGAATTAATAATTACTTCAACTGTAAAAAGAGGTGTTGACAGTGAAATGATAAGGCAAAAACTTGAAATTGAAAAGAAAAAAAATGAGTTACGGAGACACATGGTCGGGACCACCACATGCACAGAACAAAATAACATTTTAATGATAGATTTGGATTCCATACAAGATAGTTGTTGGTGAATATAAGAATTTTACGTAAAAGAGAAGGACAATCATCATAGACACCACAAGTTAACACTTTTTATGTTTTTTAACGAATATTTCAAGATCTTGGTAGTCTGAAAGCGGTTTTGGAGATTACTAGAATTGTTATTTTAAATTAATTATGTGTATAGTTTCATGTTATCCTAATTCAAATTATGCAGTTATATTTTCAATTATATATTTTGTTGTTGTGTTGTATCTTTTAATTTTAAAAATAGGTATTTTCTTTATTTTTTTATTGCAATAATTAAATATAGATAAATTTTAACAACACATAATTTAGTAACAAAATAAATGTATTCAATTAATGCATTTAACCAAATAAATAGTTAAACACATTTCATTAAAGTTAAAAAAAAAAAAGGAAATTGTAGAGTAAATGATGCGCTACATGTAGCGTGCCACTGTAGATATCTTCACAATAAAGTTGGGATCTAGCGCACGGTTGGAGAGGCATTCAGAGCAACCCTAACCCAAGAGTTGTGCTATAGCGGTGTACTGGAGTTGCGCTCAATAGTCTTGTAACGGGATATTCCATGGTAGAATAATTTTGTGACTTCATGCAACACGACATTGTATATATCTTCATAACAGAGTTGAGATGTAAGCAGAGTCGGTCCTAAACTTTATAAGGCCCTGGATGAAATTTGCTAAACTTTGCATTCCTTTTTTTTTTTTTAAATTAAGTTCACGAAAAACAAAAGACATAATATTACTGACTATAGTAAATGTTGTGAAATTTAAAATATAATTAAAACTAAATTGAAAAAAATATATATTGAGCAATATCTTAAATGTCACTAATGAAAAGGAGGGAGAAAGTCTTTTTCTTTCTTAAAAAAAATATAAACTGCTAAATCTGTAAACTTCTTATTTACTTAAATATATATCATAAATTCAGATATTGGAGAAAATAATTCAATAAAAATTTATTAATTTTTTATTGAGAAATTAATACATTACAAGTTTTGATATTTAAGAAAACTGAATAACAATGATTAATTGAAACTCGTCTTAAATTGAATTGATTTTTCTCATTAATATTTCATAAAATTTGTCAAGTGACAAAAAATAATTAAAAAACTTAACCAAAGATTCAATAAAAAAATTTGGCTAATAAAATAAATTTTATACTATCTATATATATTGAAAAAGAGAGGTCAATAAATCATTTAGAAAAAGTTCTAAAAAACTGGTCAACAAGTGTTTTGACTTCCCATTTGTGGAAAGTCTTTAAAAAATCCGAAAATGATTAAAAAAATCCGAAACATTCTAAAATCCTATACATCCGATTTTTATTCACTTTTCAAAATTTGGTTAGATATTTTCATTTTATTTTTGTTAATATGTAGTCAAAATTATTCCATAATTTTTGCAAAATAAACCGGATCATTCCTAATTTTATGCAGTATAAAATCTGTCCACGCTAATTTGCATGCGATTGTGTGCTCATGTGTTTGATATATCAGTTTTGGATTTTTTAAATTATTTATTGTCTAAAGATATGCTTTGAGATGGAGCAAGAAATCGGATTGATTTTTTTTGAAATCAATTCTGAGGATTTTTAGGAAATTTGTTCCGCATGTGTTCCTTTTTTTCTGCCGTATATAACATTCACATGTCTTTGAGGACATAAGATTCCATTTTTCACTACAATTCTGTTACCGATTTTGTGGAATTCGTGGATCTCAATAATTGATAAGCCAATTATTTAGGAAACATGACATATCACAAACCATTTTGTTTTAACAATCCCTATGTTTTTTAAAAATACAAACATTTTATTAAAAGGATTCATCTTTATCTTTAACTTCCATATCTTTATCTAACTTCCCTATAATCTCTTTAATTCATCGCAACTGAACATGCTTTCAATCGGATCTCCTGTAGGTCAGTGTCGCTACCACCAAAGCAAAGAAAAAGACGCAAACCCTTCTCGAATTTCAAGAAGGAGGCGACCCAGTTGAAGGGCCTGACGCAGGACAAGCTCTTGGCCCTCCTGACAGTAGCCCGTTTGCGCACTGTCGAGGAGCTCGATCGGAACAAGATCGGCGGCTAATTCAGATCTTACGGCGTGGGGATCAAGGATGAGTAACCTCGCCGCTGGGAAGGCTTCAATCGCAAGGGCGATTGAGAATTTGCTCCGTCTAGGGCTGACGAGATCGACAATTGGGTGAACGGTAAGAAGTCATCTCCGGCTAGATTCGGTGAGGTGTCTATTTTTGGATAGGTGTCTGTGTTTATTAATTATTGAACTGAAGTTAATATGTTGTTTCCTGATTTGAATTTGAATTATTGTCTTTATTAGTTTTTTTCCTTTATTTTGAATATTATGGTTAATCTATGACCCTTCATTTGAAGTTACACTACTGCAAAGATTGTTGTATATCCGTGGTTTTTAACCTTTGTGTGTGTGTGTTTTTGTTTTTTCAGTTGTGGGTAATTGAATTGGTGGCTTGGCCGTACTGTGTTTTGTTGTTTGGATTTTTTGTGAAAATTTGCGAGGAATACGTGTGTTCCTAACATTGCTTCTAATTTGTTATGCAAGTTTTGACTTGAAACTTCTTTCACGAAAAAAGTAAAGGCTATGGTTAACGGTCCGGCTCCATTTTCAAATATTGGCAGGCGTGCTAGAGGTAAACTTTTATAAATATATATTGTTTATGATTAATTGCAAAGTTGCACATGTAGTTTAAATTCTGCTGCAGCTAATGAAGATGTAGTCTTGGTTATTGGTTGTTATTGGGTTCATATTGGTTTTATTTGTGATTATATCTTGAGGAATTGTTTATTTATGCATTAGCTATGAATATTAATATTCTTGTATGCTGGAAGATTTGATCATCCAATCTTGATTAATTTGATTATCCAGTTTTGATTAATTTCAGTGGTATTCGATGTGTAGTATTTCAGTCAAATTTCAGTAGTTTTGATACTTCCAGTCAAATTTCCCGTTGCTCACTGCTGCCGCTGCAACCAAGACGGAGAAGAAGTCGCAGACCCTTAGTCAAAGGTTGACGCAGGGCAAGCTCTTGGCCCTCCCGACTGGACCTCGCCAGCGCATCGCTGAGTATTATTTGATGCTTATTTGGGTTAGCTTGAATTTTTTTGCTCAATCTTGAAAAAGAAAAAATTATTGGATTTTGATATTATTACCTAATTTAATAGATATTTTAATGTTTAGTGTGTGTATTAGAAGTATTGTGATGTTGTATGAGCCAAAATAGCAGAGAATTAGTAGTGTGTGTGTAACAGAATTGATATACTTAAAGAGAAAAAAAAAAGAGTGTGGTGATTTTATAAGTGTATTAGCTGTAAACGTACTTATTTGTTTTTAGGATATCAATACCTCAAGCTTCTATCTTTATGATTAAGCATCAAACCTCCAAGAAGTAGTAGCAGTAGAATTTGACATTTGAAATTTTTTTGAAGACGTCATAAACTACTCTTTTCCCAACCAGTCGATTAGCTAGGAAAAATGACCACGATTGCTCGTGGTTAACTGGACCTATTCTTTCTAATGGTTTCAATTCAGTCCGCAGGGAGTAAGAATCTGGACAAAGCTATAGCTTCTTCAAGCGATCAATACAAGTTAGAGGTTTAGAAAATTTGTTTTCATTTGCTTTGAGTAACTTTTTATTGTATTGATATCCATATTTTTATGTTTCTTTATTTGGTTAGTGTGCATATTTTAAAAATTACAGATCAAATGTTATCCATTTTTTTCTGAATCCTTATGCGCCTGAAGAAGGGATTGCCAAGAAGGAATATTACTTGAGTAGGTTCAGGTCTCGATGTATAGAAATGCAGTCTTGAATGAACAAACTGATTGTTGGTCATTTTTTTTTCTCGCTGAACATGGTTGTGCAAAGCTGGATTGTGGTGGCCAGATGGGGGGAAGCACCGCCGTAGGGAGCGGGCTGTGGGATGAAGATTGCGTTTTCCCGTACAGTTTTCGGCAAGGGCAGATTTACTTTCATTTGACAATAAACCTTTGTTTTTGAGGTTTCCTCAATCGACGGTGTGTATATTAGCTTAGGATTATCATCGTGAACGTTTTCTGTTTAATTTTGTATTGGTTTAGGATTATCATCGTGAATGTTTTTTGTTTAATTTTGTGTTTGTTTTTGTTTTAGGTTAAGGGATCTCATGGAAATTCCTTGTTTTTACTTTGTATATGATGTAATTGACATATTGTGTGCCCAAATTTTGATTCAATTTTTGCATTTGGTTTGTAATTGCATTTTTTTCTCATTATATTTTATTAATCTAAGAATTCATTTCCGACATATTTCATAAATAATAATACGAAGGTTATAATGATTTATATATGATTACTGTTTATAAGTTAAATAGTAAAACGGATAGTTAATTTATACATGGAGAAGAATATTAAAATTATTAATAAAAAAACTAGGCCCGATTTCTCTTTAATTTTAGATAATTGTTGTAATTTGTTTATGAATGTAGATAGTGACGTAAGTATTTTTATGATATTGAAATTGAAACTCAAATTATGTCACAAAAAAAAATTGAAAATTTCTTGATAATGATGGTTTTTGTAATCACCGCTTACGAGTAAATACATATTAGAGTAGAAAAAAAAAGAAGAATCAAATATCGAAATATAACCAAGAAAAGATTGACGTAAGTCGTCAATGGGAAGTATTTTTTTGACCGTTGATTTTGGCAAAAGATCTTACATGAAATTCGTCATATCTCTAGATTTAATTTCAACTAACTATAGCAAATTTTATTATGTATTATACAAACATTTTGTAAACATTATCTTACAATAATATATGATTTTTCAATTGTGTTTATTTTCTTTCCATAATGAGATGTTTAAATATAAATAATTATAGAAAAAACAAATCAAGGAACAAGTAGATCCGATCTTACATGAAATTCGTAATATCTCTAGATCTAATTCCACTAATTATAGTAAATTTTATTATGTATTATACACACATTTAATTTGTAAACATATCTTACAATAATATATGATTTTTCATATATAGTGTTTCTTTTATTTTTATAATGAGATGTTTAAACATTATTGAAATTGTTGTTTTTGGTGCTTTCATCCCTTTCCTTTTTTCTATGGGTTTATGTAATGGGACACAGTTGGTTGTGACAAAACTATCAGCTCATGTTCTTGAGTGTAAGATACTCACTGGGGATCACGAAGGCGAGAAGGTGTTGATTCTTAGAATGACTATTACTTCTTCCGATGTCAGAATTTCTTTCAAATTTCAGAGGCGACAATTTCCGATTATGGTTTCTTATGTCATGACTATCAACAAGAGCCAAAGACCAAAGACAATCGTTATCGCATGTTGGTTTAATTCTTAAGAAGTCGGTGTTCAGTCATGGTCAATTATATGTTGCCGCCTCCCGCGTCACCAATCGAAGTGGATTGAAAATATTAGTCTGTAATGACGATGACGTGCCACCAAATTAGACCCAAAACGTTGTGTACAAAAAAGTGTTTACTAATTTATGAAGTTTTTAATTTATTTTTTTCTATTTTACATTTGTTACATATCTACAAAGTGCATTAAATTTAATATTAATATTAAAAAATTTCAGAAAAATATACCATCTCGTACATCGCACGGTTAGTAGTAATATAACTGCAGTGCAAGAGTTGTGTTCTAGCTCTGTATTAGAGTTGCCCTTGATAGTCTTGTAATGAGATATATTCCATGGTAGAATAATTTCATGACATCATCGCATTAATAGGTAGATTATGAAAAGCTGATTATCTAAATATAGAATTACATTACGCATGTAATTAAGGTTTCGTAACTTTTGGGGAAGGAATGAGGTTTTAGAAACAACTTTTATAAATAAAAATATATTAAATTTGAAAAAAAGACCAGAGAATTTACTGCTGAAAACTGCAAGACTTCCATGTAAATGTTTCACACGCTAAGCACTTTTTCTCTTTATTTTACTTTCTCGATCTCTACAATTTCCGGTCAGGAAAATTAATCAAATCTGTCTTGCTTTTCATTTTCTTTTTCCTCTTCTCTTCTTCAGGGACTCGCATGATTACAGATTACCAGATCATGAAATCTGTCGCGTTTATTGGTCACCGGAAATCGGTAGTACTTCAGTTTGGTAATGTAAGCTCCAAGTTTTGCTTTGATTTGAGAGTGTGAGGTAACAGAAATATTTTAAATTCGAAGAATTGGGGTTTACTGGATGCTTTTGATTCGACGCTGTTGCTGTGTAAATGCTTTTGGGAGGGAATTTAGGATTTTGGTGCAGTGTGGTTGCGGTGGTTTTCGCGTGGCTCGTGGGCCGCTGGAAATGGCGGTGCGCGGCCGCACGGGGGGAGGATATCAGGCGGCTTATGATGTTGGCCTCGGAAGAGACAGCTCGGGCTGAGCTTGAAGCAGCCTCGGGCTACAGAAGCTATGGCTCGGCCCTGGCAGCTGAGCCTGTGGTTGAGGGACCTGTTTCCGGGCCGGGCTCATATGTGGGCCGAAAATTGCAGTATCAATGCGAAGTTTGCTTTAGTCCAACCACAACGCGTTGCAAGAAGTGTAAATCTACTCATTACTGGTAATCATGACTGATCACCCTTATCTCAGGAACTTATTGATCTTTAGCTTTACACTTGCATGGTTTAAACTTAATTGGCAGGTTCTGATTGGGTACTTTGTCATTCATCGTGGACTATGCTTGTTTGCTTATGTAGTTGTAGGTATATATATTGTGATTCTTATGAATGTTGGCACTTCTGTAAAATTGTCATCAAGTATGTTCGCTTCCTAGCTCTGCTTGAGCTTATGTGATGGCTTACTACCAAAATTATGGTAGTCTAGATTCTGTTTCATAGTAATGAGGGNCTGGTAAAAATATGACCATAAGTGTACGAGACAGACTATAGTTAAAGTATACATCATGAAGTGGGATGATTGATAGCTTTAAAAGTGATGATTAGATTACCGGGTCTTTGAGGCACGTAGATGTAACCTGTGACACGGACACAAGGAGTTTATAAAGCACAAACTACTGCATGCTTAACGAAAGCGTAATTTGTAGCTCACGTTTAGTTTGGTAAAGAAATCCATATGCAGGAGGATCATCAATTCCCGATTGCTGCAGGTTTTATCTTAGGTTAAAAGATAAATTAAGATTGCGGTACAGTGTTTTTGGATTGGGCGAGATTGTGTTGGTTTAATGATCTTGGTACTTTTGGGGAACCTCTTGCAATGTGTTTACACATTTATTGATGGAAAATGTGAGTGGTATCTGACATCTTGATTCTCGAATAAATAATGTATGAGGGCTCCATAAACAATAATATTAGCTGCACCGACCACCTTCGCGAATGCTTTAGCATGGTAAAAGCCTAAATTTAATTTCTCACAAGTAGTCTTCTGTATTTAAAGAAAGAAATTTTATAAAGAATTTTTCACTGTAAAGTTTAATTTTAACTAACTGTTCATAATTGTAATCTGATTTAGAAATCAATATTCAAGTTATGTTCAATGATTTATGGACAAAAAAAATCATCTTTTCATGATTGTAGAGTTCCATATGTATCTTAACTATATGTAACATTGTTATTTATTTGTAATAGATTTTGGGGCATAAAATATATTTCATCGCGTTACTAGGAGTGAAGCGTCTTTGATTGTGGAATCCCTAGTTCAAAATATTACTTTTATGTTACATCCTTTGCAGTGGGTCAAGGATAACTTAATTTCTTTAGAAACAAATTTTGCTCGTTTCTCCCCATATTTTATAGTATGACATTGATGTATGAAAATATGTATATTTGTTGGAAGAGTACGGTTGCCTAATCATTAGGCAGCCTAACAGAAGACCAACCGCTGGTAAATAAATGCCAAATAAATCATTTAGCATGTTCATTAATTGTTGAAATATTTAGAATTCCTGATGTCTGATGTTGTATGGTTTCCATTTTTAATATGCCTTTTTACAGTATATCAACATAACTTCGGATCCAACTTTAATATGCCTTTGTCAATATTATCAACATATGCATCTCATAATGTTGCAGCTCTAGAAATTGCCAAGTACTCCACTGGCGGAAAGGCCACAAGGATGAATGCCACTCGATCACTACTCGCCAGAACACTGTTTTGGATGCTCATCCTCATGTTAAGGAATTTAAGCAAGACAAGATTGAAAACGGTCTAAATGGGACTCATGTATTGCATAGTACCAGACCACTTAAACCATCCTCTGAGAAATGTGAATTTTCAAATCCTACTCCATGCATACCTGGTGAGGCTAATGAAATTTTTGATTCCACAAGTGAAGGTGCCTGTGACAAAACTGAAAATAATGTAAAATCATCCATTCACCTTTGTGATGAAAGCCTTTCTTTCACCATCTCGACTGACTTACCTGCTGCCTCATATATTAATTCAAAGGGTGGTTATAAATATGAAGCAGGGAAAAAAAAGCTCTTCTCCGAACAACCTAGTTCAGTCAATCCTGAACATACCGCAGATGCTTCCATTTTCTCAAATCAGGTTAAGTCTGGTTGTATTGAAAGAGATGTAAAGTCAGAATCTTCGAGTTCGTTGGGCTGCAGTTCCTTCGATTCCGAGGAACATCTTTCCGAACCTTCTACACTCTCTGATTTCTGGGCTGGAGCAATTGAGAGGAGAAAACCTAACATCAATGCAGTTGAGTTTGATGATGTTAAAAAGTTAAGTTCCCAGCCCCCATTTCTACCATCTTCAACTAAGTTTCATGCAAAAAATTTGGGTTCTGGTATGAATGGAGTCCAGGGAGTTGGTCCTCATCCAAATAAGACCTCCAGGAAGTCAGACACATTATCAGAAGTGAGTGAAAATGGTTTGAAGTCCAAAGAACCATTAGTTTCGAGTGGCAAAGTGTCTGGCCAAAATGACATCACCTATAGCTCAAAAGAAGAATCTAAACCGTCCTCTTGTAATGCTAAGGGCTTACCTGAGGAGAGGTGTCTACCAAGTAAAAACATCAACAGTACTTGCAACTTGCTGTCTGTGGGACCAAAGGTGGTGGGCCTTGAAGCTGGCGGAGCAAACTATGTGAGTCCTGTGAAAAGTCAACATAATGATTCTATGAGATGTAAATCTTCTGAAACTCATTTGCCTTCTGGTGACGTTACCAAGAAGTCCGCTACTGTTACAGATGCACAATCAATGGAAAATGTCTACACTCGTGAAGATGATTCTCGCTCTTTGGCAAGTGGAACTAATCATCCATCTTCGAGGAGAGTTGTGGATGAGTTCAGGCATTCTAATCTTGGCAGGCTTGGCTCTTTTGGTGCTGGGGGTGGGATTATTGGGAGATATGAGGTGGGCGTGAAGGTTCCTTTTGTTGTGCATACTCACTTCTCGTGTATTGTATATATAAAAGCCAACTAACCGGGATTTAGATTATTTTACAGGGCTCGTTTGCATACGAACTTTTTGTAAAGCTTTACCATTGGAATGAGGTTGAGTTACGCCCACGTGGACTCAAAAATTGTGGGAACAGGTAGAAATGGACAAAGATTTTCCTTTTGTTATGGAATTTTGACTGTGGACATAATTCCGTGCTACATATTTAGTTAATTGCCTTTCAAGTTATGGGCCTCACAACTCAATAAGGGATAGTTATGAAATCCTAATCTTTTTCTCGATGTTACTACTCAAAATTTTTAGTTTAACGTGCCCCATTCTCGTAAAGTTTCTTTCAAATTTAGAAAGTACTCCCTTGTTCTGCATAGGATACGCTTTTTTTCCTTTTTTAAATTATTTGAATTATAGGTTTCCTTCCTTTCAGAGACAATTAACTACAGCAATAAACTGAAATACCCCCATCTAATCAAGTTGTATTCATTCAGGTCATGTTGTTGAACCCTAACAATTAAAGTAAACATTAATAAAGAAAATATTTATAATAGCAGGTAGATTTATTAGGTTTCTTTTTTCAACTTTGTGAAGTTTTAGCGACATAACTTAGATGGATGGCGGGAATGTTATATTAAATATTACCACTTTGAGTTTCTGTATCATTAACTGACAAGCCAAGCTAAAATTCTATGTATTTGAACTTGTAGAGTGAAGCATAAGACCATTGAGCTGAGCCACATTAAAATAATTTGTTCCAAACATGTTGCTCTCTAAAATGTGAATCTGGACTAGTACATATCTGAATACTGTTGGTTAATTTCATTGTCATTAGTTACTTACTATATAAATGGGTTTTATGCTCTTATACATTGTAATATTGTTAGTTATATAAAAATTCTTCTATCAATATCTTTTTCTTAAGCTTTATAGTTTAGTAATTAATTATTAAGTTAGTTAAATTCCAGACTCTATTATTCTCACTAAGCTCTTGATGGCTTGAACTATAATCGATTTCAATGACAAGAATTGAAGTATTCAGTTGAATGTTTTTGTGTATACATATTCTTGGTGGACAAGCTAAGAGCCTCAAAAATTGTGATGCAAATTTTGAATGATATTACTTACTAGGAATGTTATAAAATTTATCCTACTAACAATGCCAAATTTCCTGTCTGAAAGACGCCTTAAAACAACTTAGCGTCTCATTCTTCTTTTCTTCTATGGATCCTGTAATGACTTATTCAGCCTTTCATACGTAGTTTAAGTATGTTACAATCCACTAAAATTTAGTTGTCCCAAAATTTGCTGCAGCTGTTATGCCAATGCTGTTCTCCAGTGTTTGGCATTGACTCCGCCACTCACAGCCTATTTTCTCCAAGGACTTCATGGCATAACTTGTAAGCCACTCTGTGCTGTGCCTATTTACTCGATTAATTGTTATTCTTTTGGAGTTCTATATCATTTGAGCTTTTACACTTATCTCACTTTGTTTTCCTGAAAAAATTAGGTCATAATAAGGAATGGTGCTTCACCTGTGAGATGGAGGCATTAGTTAAGAAGGCTAAGGAAGGCAATTTTCCTTTGTCACCTGCTCGCTTGATGTCCCAAATGCATCATGGTAGGGAGGAAGACGCTCACGAGTTTCTGAGGTGAGTTTTGCATTTTGCGTGAAGTAAATAGGCAATCGGTGAAGCTGTAGAATTATAAGTTTGTCATCTGAAATTAATATTAAAATTTACAGATACGCAATCGATGTCATGCAAATTGTTTGCTTAAAGGATGCTGGCATTAATGCCCCGACCTCTTTAGACGAGGACACCACCTTATTGGGGTTTACGTTTGGGGGCTACCTCCAGTCAAAGGTTATTTTCTGGAGATTTATTTGACATCTTGGAGATCTGAAACTTTTTTCGTCTGTGAATATTGTCATCATCAGTATTCTTAAACTTGCAATTTGTGAATTCAACATATGTAGATAAGATGCATGAGGTGCGGGGCCAAATCCAAGCAGCACGAGAGAATGATGGACCTCACACTTGAGATAGGAGGAGAGATAGGATCTCTAGAAGATGCTCTGCATCAGTTCACTCGTTCAGAGATTCTAGATGGTGAAAACAAGTACCGTTGTGACAGGTTTGTTTGATGTGCTCTGTTTGAATGTTTTTGGTTAAATCAGTTTAGTAATCCCATGAAGTCACTTTCCTTGGTGGGGATAGCTGACATTAAAAGTAATATTATATATTTAACTAAGATTAAGGATCTGAAACTGAGCTGATGAAGTCACTTTGACAGATGCAAGTCGTATGAGAAGGCGAAAAAGAGGCTTAGAGTAATGGAGGCCCCTAATGTCCTCACCATTGCTCTTAAGAGATTTCAGGTAACATCTTTATATACCACGTATTCCATATATGGTTCTGCATCTGTATCTAATTTACTTTTTTTTTTTATCCAGTCGGGTGAATTTGGGAAATTGAACAAGTCTGTTAAGTTTCCAGAGGTCTTGAATTTAGCTCCATACATGAGGGGCACGAGTGATAAGTCCCCAATTTACCAACTTTATGGAGCAGTGATTCACTTAGATGTCAAGAACGCGACTTTTACTGGTCATTACATGTCTTACGTGAAAAATAATAAAGGAAGCTGGTTCAAAGCCGATGACAGTTTGGTATGTCCTAGCCACTTGCTTTGTCTTCATTATGCTGCAATCTTTTGTTTTATTGGATGGGTCCTAATATCATGTAGAGAGAGTTCCGATTCCCAAATTTATAGTTGGTAGTTATACCAGAAACCCCTGGGATAAAACTCCGTAACTTAATCGTTCTTCCTGTCATTTTTCCCTTTTTCGCAAATCTAATCTCTTAATTTATTTTTATGATGATCTTTAGGTGCAAGCTGTGGAGGTTGAGAGGGTTTTATCCAAAGATGCATACATGCTCTTCTATGCAAGGTAGGACGTCCGAAAATACTTAGGGGTGATTGTTTATCAATTCAATTAAAAAAAAAAAAATCAAAACTTAAATTTAACTAAACTTTAACCAAACCCCACCATCTCCAATATTATTAATATAATTAAATATTATCAACCAATCATTCTTACACATCACATCAACTTTAATTCACTATTCATCAACTCACATAATTTTAACTAACCATCACTTCCAATCATTTTTCTCATACTTTTTACATCAAATCAACTTTAATTATTTTTATTTTATATTATTTTAATATATCTACTAACAACTAACCATACCACATTTTTTTCAAAATTAATTATATTTAAAAAAAAACCCAATTAAAAACTAGTTGAATTTATATCCAATCACCCCTTTTGTCATCACTTTTTTTTTATTCGAATGATTCATTCCAACCATGCATTTTCAATAATGTCGAAAAATTTAGGTGCTCCCCACGTGCCCCAAGACTAATAAGAAGCTTCATGGATCCCCGGAAATCAAAACAGACAACCAATAAGCTCGAATTCCACCCAACCGAGCCATGGAGAGATGTCTCCCTATCTAAACTAAGCCACCACCACCGGGCTTTGCACATCCAGACGGGCTCAGAAGATGAAAACCTAACCGAACACTCCGCTTTGCACATCCAGACGGGCTCAGAAGATGAAAACCTAACCGAACACTCCTCCTTCTTCTCCGACACAGTGTCCCGCAGCAGCTGCTCAACAAGCACTGCCGATTCTTTTTCTGGGATGAATTCTCCCTCTTCTTCATCATCCCTCTCGTCCCCAGTTCGTGTGAGGCATTCCTTGTTGGCTGATTTGGACCGCTACTCTTCAGATGCGGGCTGTTCTAAAATCAATGGGGACGGGTTCACTTGTAGGAATAGTTGTGTTAACTTTGACTCCGATAGATTAGCGAGAAAGGAGTCTGGCTGTGGTAGTAAATTTAGTGGCATTGGTGTAAGAAGATGATTTTTAGGGTTGAAAGAGAGGAGAGTTTTAATACTTTAAAGAATTTTATTGATGTAAATAATATGAATTTTAAGGAGTATGGGGGCGCCGGAGTGAAATGTTGTAATATGTGTTGTGAGATTGGTTGCTCCATGCCCCCTTTATACAAATATATTTATATATAGGTTTTGTTGAAAACTTATCATATCATTTTGTCTGAATTGAATTTTTACTTCAATGTGTGGGATTATTAACCATCTACGGTTTTCTTGTACAAGTTGATGTAGCATGCAGAGTAGCTCGGTGGACCGGTTGAATTGGTTAGCTCGGGTAAAGCCGACTCAAAAGAGTTCAAGCTCGGTATCAATGGCTGACCTAGTCAGGGAGCTCGTTGGCCTGGTAAGGGTGGTCTGGAGGATGGAGCCTCTCGGAGTCGATTACGCAGAGTGACCTCACTACTCGGAGGTCATAGAGACAGAGGTTGAGGTATAGGCTTGGTTCAGGCTGTTGGTAGATTGTAGTACCCCATTCCTTTATTAAAAGCAAAGTTCAGTTTATTCATAAACATAAGCTCATTTCATTTAAAAGGTTAGCTCGACTAAATCAAATAAGTTTATTAATTTATCATCAAAGTATTATTAAGAAGTGAATAATAAGTCATGAAGATTATAAATTTTAATATTATTAAAATAATTAAAAATAAATCATTGAAGAACTTAAGCTAATTAAACTAATTGTAAAAATTCAATTTAATTTTTGACATAAAATTAGCAAATTAAAGTATGATTATTCCATCATTAATCCCTCATCTTCGAGCCATTTTTCAACCTTGAAAAACCAAGAGAAAAACCGGCCAAAAGTCAAAGAAGTAACCGGCCATTTTAGTAAGTATAAAGCTACCATAATTATCCTCATTTGTAACCCCAAGAGACAAGGAAGTCAGCCGTTTTTCCTTTGATGAATTGAGTTTCAAAATCCGGCTTAAATATCCCGGTTCAGTAGATGCTACCCATATGGGTAGTATCCGCTTGGTGTGCCTGTAGAGACAAGGAAATCAACCGTTTCTCCTTTGATGAATTGAGCTTCAAAGTCCGGCTTAAATATCCCGGTTCAGTAGATGCTACCCATATGGGTAGTACCCGCTTGGTGTGTCTGTAGCATTCACTGAGTTCATGCTATCCATACGAGCACAACCCATAACCTCCAACATCCAATGAAAATATACCAAGTGTCATGTTTAATATTTTTTAAGATATATGGGTTGCAATGAGCAAACCCTTTTTACACTATTACCACTATAAGGAAAATCTAGAAAATACTATTAAAAATAATTTTAGGCATATAATTAAGAAAGAAAAAATAAAAATAATAATATAAAATCTTAGAAAAATTATGAGTGAACCACCAAGAGTCTCAGAACAAAGAGGAATACTTATTGAAATAATAAAGAAAACTCAATTAGAAACATCATAAAAATTAGAAGAAATAAAAGAATCAATACAAGAATTACGAGATTTAGTACAAAAAGAAAAAACACGGAAAAGATTATTTAAACCAATTCAAATAGAACCGCCAACAAGTTCTAATGGATGACATAGATAGATTAATCCAGTTATTAGAAAAATGTAATATTGAAGAAACTAGAATGGAAAAAATAGATGATGTCGATAAACAAGGAATAATCTATGGAATAGATAGTGAAAATATGAAGATAAACTCACATTTAATATGACTGATAAAAAACCTCATACAACACCACCATTATCACCAAAGCGATCTAGAACAAATAATAATGAAGCATCTAGTTCACATAATAATTATGTAGAAAGGAGTTTTAAAGATTTTATATACAGAAATGATTATAGTTATCATCAAGAAAAAATTAGGACAAATATACCACCAGCATATCTAGAAAAAAAAAAAAAGAAATCTATCTAATGGAATAGTAAATATAGATAGTGCAACCAATGCAGAAGATTTAATAATCACTTGGACTAATCAATTAAAATTATTAGTTCAAACTAATGATTCAATGATAAATGGAATGGCATTAACAGATTTTCTTAATTATATAAGATATAAAACATCCGAGTATTATTTGACTATCTAGAAAATACTCGAATTTTATTAAATCTTGAAGCCAGTGGTTTAGAAACAAGAGCAGAATATAAAATAGCAGCTTTAAGAGAATTAATAAAAGATCTATTAAGAGAATATTTAGGAATCACACGACAAGAGTCAGAGTCAAAGGAAACACAAAAAGATAAGATAGTTAGATTGCTAACAAACATGAAGTTATGCAATGTATGCTACATAGAAAAATTTTTCTGCCAAGTAAGAGAAAATTTCTGTAAAATTAAGGATAGGTTAGGATTAATAGAAATAGTTGAATTTAAACTTAAATGTGAAATGAATAAATATATTCAAAAGAAAATTAGTGAAACAAGAGAAGAAAAAACTCTAGGAATTTTAAAAAAAATATGCGAAAGAATATAGAGATAAACTTTGTATAAGGAATTTAGAACACCATGAAATGACTAAAGTCGATCCAAGGTGTTGTAAACAATTAGAAAGTGTAACATAAGAATTTGGTTGTTATAGAAAGAAAAAATATCATAAATTCAATAGACGATATAGACCCACAAGATATAAGACATTTAGAAAACAGTGGAAACCAAAATATAAAGGGAGGTTTAGAAAACAAGGAAAATATTTTGGAAAACCCAAATATTGTCCTAAGGGGAAAAAGAATTGCAGATGTTGGAAATGTTAAGAAATAGGATACTATGCAAATGAATGTCCTAAAACCATACTAGAAAAAGAAAGAAAGCTAAAAATGATATTTTCTTTAGCTTATAAACCTATAAAAGAAGAATATGAAGAAAGGAGAGTTATTAGACTTTCATATATACGATTTAAAATCAGAAACATATAGTGATTTAGAACTATCAGAATGAGAAAATGAGTAAAAATAGTTCATTTATAAAAGTTAAATGATTTAATAAACTTGTTTAGCATATATAGACACGGGAGCAACAATATGTTTAGCACAAGAATCGATATTACCAAGAAAATATTGGAAAAAATTAGACAAACCAATTATAGTGAGAATTGCAAATAATAAGACAATAAGTATTGATTATAGATCAACAAACTTAGTATTGTTAATAGAAGAAAAATGATTTCATTTATTAAGTCTTTATAAACAAAATACAGGTTTACCATTAATGATTGAAAATAACTTTCTTAAGTTATACAGTTCATTTATTCAAAGATTAAATAGTATAAGTCTTAGATGTCCACCACTAGATACACAGTCTAGTAAAATAATTACTACAAAAATATATAATACGTCTTCTTTCATAAGGGGGGAGATATTAAGAAAAGTTTCATTTCAAATTTATAAGGTAATAAGTATAACATTAGAAGAACATGTTAATCAGTTATTAGAAAAAATATGTAGTCAAAATACATTAGATCCAAATAAAAATATGAATAACATGATAGTAAAAATAGAACCAATAGATCATAACAAGGAAGTCAATGTGCCAATTAGACTACCATATACAGAAAGAGATGTTAAAGAATTTCAAGAAGAAATTACTAAGATATTAGAAAAAGGTATTATACAACTTAGAACAAGTCCACATAGTGCACCAGCATTCTATGTAGAAAATCATAATGGATTAAAAAGAGGAAAACGTAGATTGGTTATAAATTACAAAAAAAAAAAAAATGAATAAAGCCATTAAAGGAGATGCATATAAGTTACTCAGACAAGATTATATTTTTAGTTGAATCAAAAAGGCAAAATGGTACAGTACATTAGATGCTAAATCAGGATATTGGCAGTTAAGGTTACATGAAGAAACTAAACCTTTAACAACATTTAGTTGTCCACCTCAAAACCACTATGAATACAATGTAATGCCAGTTGGACTAAAACAAGCACCTAGCATATATCAACTATTTATGGATAATAATCTTAAAAGATTAGAATCAATAAGTCTTGCTTATACAGATCATATAATTGTTTTTACACAAGGATCAAAATAAAATCATTTAAAAGAACTTGCAAAAGTTTTAATACAGTTAGGTAATAAAGAAGTTATTATAAGTAAAGAAAAAACAAAAATTTATAAAAACGGTAACATAATCTTTGGGAATGAAAATAGTCGAAGGAGGCTATATCGATCCTCAAAAACATCTACTTGAAAAAATACATCAGTTTCCAGATCAACTTCAAAACAGAAATCAAATTCAAAAATTTCTTGGATGTTTAACATATATTGGAGAAAAAGGTTCTGTAAAAAGTCTTACAAAAGAAAGAGAGTTACTATAAAAAATGATTTCAAAAAAAGTACCATGGAAATTGGCAGATGATGCAACTAGAGCATTACAATCCTTAAAAAGACTATGTACTCATTGACCACGGCTTTATCTGCCAAAGCCTAGTGATTTACTTTTTCTAAGCACTAATGCAAGTCAGGATACTTGGGGAGAAATCCTTCAAGCAGTCTCAGATGAATATGAAGAGTTTAATAAGTTTATCATGAATAACAAACCATCTGTAGTTAAATCCTTCATACGAAGGATAACTAAAGATAGTTTGGATGCAAAAGGTGAATCGTACGATTCTAACTTAGAGAAATCTAATGACAAAGGTGAAAATCCTTTAAGCCAGTCTAGGCAAATAGAATTGGATTAAACCAATAGCAAACAATTACTGTTATCCAAATAGGTATCAGGAACGTTTAAGCCAGCTGAACGCAATTATACTACACATGAGAAAGAAACCTTAGCCTTTATAAATGCACTTGAAAAATTTAAACTCGACCTACAACCAGTGAAATTCATCTTTCAAATCGATAGCCTATACACTAAAGATTTTACAAAATACCGATTGAAGGAATTCTACAATAAAGGTAAAATTCTTAGATGGAGCCTAAAAGAACAACAATTTGATTACATTTCTGTGTATATCCCAGGAAAAGAAAATTATTTAGCAGATACCCTTACATGAGAATGGAGTCCGTTGCAGTAATTCTAATTAGGGCTGGTAATTTTTGACTGAAAACCGAACCGAACCGATTTAAAAATAAACTGAACCGAACCGAACCGAACCATTTGTAACAGTAACCGATTTTCGGTAACCGAAACGTTATCGGTTCGGTATCGGTTCCGAACCCAAGGGTTCGGTTTTACTGAACCGAACCAATAACAATTTAAAACAAAAAAATAAAAAAAAACTTAGTATACTTATACAACCATGGTGTTGAACAAATTCAACCGGAACCGACAAGAACACCGTTCAAACTGGCTTAAAACCAATAATACTAGAAAACCGTTTAAAAAAACGGTTTCAATTTTAGACTTCGGATGGCCGAGTCAAATTATAAGAAAAAGTGACCTCATCATTTTATAGCCACCCTCTACCTTCATTTTGGCTT